TTTTGTTGCCAAAAATACAAATCAATTTTTTTTTAAAATATTTATCCATCTAGTAAATTACTATTTGTTGTTGACAAGGCATAATTTGTTTTGACATGAAAATTAAAATAGTAAACAAACAAAATAGTAAAAGTTTCTTAGTTGTACCAATGCATTAACTAGTAGTACCCAGTAGTACCTAGAGATCTACTAGTCATCAACGATTCACTACGATTCAACCACTGTGAGATGTTACGTTACTTACCCAATGCAATGTTTTAATCGACCCATATACTATCCATTGCAATGTGCATACGAGATAAATAATTGTCTAAATCCAATTAAAACCTAAATTATGATTGCTCAAATTCTTGTTTCGAACAAGAAAAATTGATTAATAAACTAACAACTAGTTCTATTTAAGCTAAAAACGCATATCAATTCAGCTTTAACTTCAACTAAGGTGCTTCAATGGGAGATTCAGATTTAACTTGATAGCATCTATGGAGGAGGAGTCACGAACTAGAAGAAGAGAAAGGGGAATGATTGTGATTGGTCAATTTATAATTTTTTTTTTTGGTTTTTTTTAATTGTTGGTATGAGTTTTTTGGTGTTTTCCTTTTTATTAAATGTTATGGAGTTATACGGGATTATTTGTTGGTGTTGTGGTTAGGTACCGAGAGAAAAGGTTTTATAAGGTTTTGATACCGAGAGAATAGACGAGGACCTCTGCGTCTCAAGTTTTCTTATGGCCATAACTTTGGTATAGTGGACAACAACTCAACGCCGAACCGGCCCAGCCCAGCCCATTTCTGAATTATCACAATTATTAAATTGTTATTGGTCAGATTCGATTGCTTTCTCCCGCGCCGCTATGGTTGCGCTTGCACACCATTTTTTCCATATGAACCAAGTAAGTATTTGATATTAATTTTTTTGGAGAACAACAAAGCCGGCGACTTATTTGAAGGGTATGTTGATTGACTCGGTTAATGATCGCACAAAGGTCAATAAATAAGGGAAAATTGGGCTTGGATTGTTTAGCCTTGTGCTTTGGTAGCGTGAATTGCAGAAGAGAGACCAAGGGAGTATGGCGGAGACTAGTCTATGAAAGACGACTTGCTCCACTATACTATAGACACTCCAACCACATGCAATGTTTGATTTTATTTTGACCTCTACGCATACTAAAGATTTTCAATTGTGGGTGCTCCCGCTCCGCTATTCGTTCCTCCAAAAGAAAAGACATTTCTACGCTAAACCGACAATTTCATTGGATGATACCCAGAAGTCCTTTTTGCTGCTCTTTATGCCTCGCGAAAGTGAAAAATGAACAATGAATCACTGGTCAGCTTTTGCTCGGGCATGAAAAACCAAAAAAATACTATCGTTTCTCCCACAGGTAGGAGATTATCCAGCAGTTTCCGCAACAATCTACTCGTTCGTTTTGTAGGAAAGCATCTTCTGAACATAAAAGATCATGTACCCTTGTGAAGCTCTCACAATGTTCTCATTCACCCGCGTGATCCAAGCATCGTCACACTTGTACCAGTCATTACTTAGCCTCAAATATGTGACATAGTGACCTGACTCGAGCTTTCCCGCGTGAGTCACCACTGCAAACAGTTCAAACTCGGATGACACCTCATAGGCCACATTGTTGTTCTCGTCTTTTTCTTCGAAAGGGAACATTCTGTTACCAAACCTTCTTCTCAGGACTGATGAAGATAGATAGGGCCTCATGTCTAGTGAAAATGGGAACTGAAGATACCGGTCCACTTTGCTTGACATTTTTCGCACTGGCGAATGTTCGAACCGCTTTATATGGAAACATGAAACCAGAGGAAGCTTTCTTATGGACATCTGTTTCAGAGACTCTTGCCTTTCTTGACATTGCTGACAGAAAAACTTCTGATCCGGCCCCAACTTCTCTGCTCTTGTGTAACGGTCCAGGCAGCCTACCAATGTCGATATCCCTTTAGAATTTTTGTAGTCCACCTTTGTTTTGGGAGGACAACCAGAAATTCCTGTGGATGGGTTTGGAGGCAAAATCTTGTTTGGTTCCAAGTCCAAGGAGATGTCAACACATGGATCGTATGTTGTTGACGTAAAACCACAACTCATGCACATGACATCAGACCGCAAAATACCAGAGAAAACTTTGTGAGCAATGCAGCAGTCACCATTTCCTGCACAGAAACCTTTCGAACTGAAATTCACCATTGTCCAGATATGACTACTATTAACATTGTTCCCAGTGAAATGAAACATGTGTACTAGCTTGTTAAGTTCTATAATGTCAGCAGTTAAATTTTCAAAATTTGATGTCATTTGAGTTTCTGAATCACAATATAGATACCTTGTGCTTGCTTTTATATCATAATCCAGTTCTACAAGGGTCAGTCAAAGATCACAATCCGGTTCTACAAGGATCTAGTCAGAGATAGTTGACAATGCAAGGACGAATATTGCGTGGTTTGCACATAGAAGCAGGATAGGTAATACTTACTTTAACCAAGGAACTAATAATATTGAATCTAAGACTATAGCAAAAATGATGGATGACGGACAACTACTTATGATTCTTACCAGATAGGCATTGATGCCTGCAGGTTGCGGTTGATGTTAAGCCCTAAATCTTATTGCAATTGTCAGCTCCTAGATGATATTAATACTTAAAACTGACGAGCTGCAGGACAATTGGAGGATTCATCTAGTGGCTATCCAACTAAATCTATTTATAGGGTAGTATTCTAAAAGGAGAAGTTTTACGAAGGATGTATGATCACCCAATCTCTTTTGGTGGGGGCAATTCAAATTTGGAGTAAAAAAACTGTGACCGATGAAGGGCCCAACATATAGAGACACTACATAACTACTAGCCAGCTTGAATCATGTAAAGAATGCATCACACTCCTCAGCTTAATTACTTAAGAAATATGAGAAGCCAACTAACATAGAACAGAAAATGTTGTGTGCCAAATTCC